CTAGTTAACACGTACATGTTAAAGGGAACGTATTTTTCAGCAGATTACCGTACCTATCAGTCTTCTGGAGGAGATGATTTTGGAAATTCTGCTTCTTGGGCAGAAAAAAATCCCAAATTTTTGTTCTGCCTGATAAATGAAGGCAGCCCTATGCTACACATAATTTAGTAAAGGGGACATACCTAGCCTAAAGGTGAAAGATGTCCCTATTTGGTTGGGCCCATCTTGGAGCTCAACAAGTGTATTTACAGGAGATGCAATAAATAGCGTGAGAGAACACATGGGAAAAAATATTTCTATCTTTATAAGAATTCAAGTAGACTAGGTCAACCTGAAGTTTTAGATAAAATGATTCTTTGTCCAGTTCTTCAGCAACAGTGCTGATGCTTTCTGTGGCTTATGTTAATTAAAGAGAATCAAGGAAGCCCAGCATGAATGGTAATGCAGGCTGAACGAGCCTTTTTTCTCCAATCTTTTTCTTCCCTTTCTTTTCTTGGACATATAACAAGTTGGAGTCACTGTCAGATGAATCGATATGGATGGTGAACTTGAAAAAAACTGGCTAGATGTAGGTAAAGTTATAGGATTACTAAACAATAGAGTAAAATGTTGAGTAGGAAAGTTATGGAAAAAAAAAACATTCTTGATATATTCTGACTGGCCTTAGGACCAAATCTTTGCACAGAGAGACATATTAATTTGCTGATGTTGATGCTAAACCCTTGTTATATCAGCTTCTGTTTGAATGACTCAGTATCTTAACATAATTCCATTCAAAATGAAAAAGAGTTACTGTTGGATGAACTTGCTTCCAGTGGAAATGGGGAGTCATCCCTGCATTAATTGGAGTAGATTGTTTATCAGCCTAATCAATCAGCTTTTTGCACTTCAGATCCTGAAACAGCATAGAAACATAGAGGCATTCCTTTTTGCCCTTTAGTGAAGAAAAGGAGATGGAGTAATAGGAATATTTCTCTAGAGAAAATTAGCTTACCTAATACACATTTTATGGGGCCTGGACTCCCAACACATTCTGGTATTTCTGAGAATTCAGCTTACATGTCACTGGAATTAAGTTAACTTATTAGTAAGTGGATAATTATTCTACAGCCTTTGACCTATTCTAGTATTAATAACATGGAATCAAATCTTATTATTTTTTGACACCTACTGGTTGAAAGGCACTGAACTAAGTACTATTCTAGTTTGAAGACAAATTCCAGAATCCTCAAAATATTTTCTTCTTATTCACACACAATTATCAGGCTGTGTCTACAGGGCACATTCAAATAAGCACATTGCATCCCATTTCTTTTGTGAAGGAAACATCTGAGTAAGCTCTCCGGGGACTCGAATTAGTTAGATGAGGTTGAGCTAAATGACTATCTGAACTAATTCAGTTGGAACATTTACTCAATTTAACTTGGGAGTCCAATTCATCAGAGAAATGTTCACAGGTATTTTTGGCATAGGTTACTGGAAAGAAGATTTCAATAAGACGAAAAAGTTCAAGTCCTCACTTTCTAGTTCTGTGACTTCGTGTTTTAACCTCCTTGAAATTAAATTTTCTTGCCTGTAAAACGAAGATGATACCATAATAATATCAATAATAGGTGACGTGTATACACACACACACACACACACACACATATTCCTGAAGCTTGCACATCGTCTTATGTACATAATCTTACTTGTTTTTACAAAAAGTCAATGCCATAGGTAATAATAAAACAATGAAAAAATAATTATATCAGCTAATATTTATATATCAGCTTAAGGTTTGCAAAATGTTTTACATATATTATCTAATTTGGTCTTCATAACAAGTATGTCCTTGAAAGCAGGAAATGCTTGTTGTCTTTCTTTATATCTTCAGAGCTTGGTACATTGCCTGGCACTCAGTAGGCACTTAATCAGTGTTTACAGACTGAATGAGGTAAATACTATTATTATCCCCATTTTATCTATTATGAAACTGAGGCAGAGAAGGCTAAGTGACTTGTTCAATGTTGCACAGCTAATAAGGATATGAGATTGGATTTGAATTTAGGTTTTCCTGACTATAAGTCCAGAGCTCTAACCACTATATCAAGCTGCTTTTCATTATGGGCAGGTTTATGCCTACATTTCAGGAGACTGAAGGTCAGAAAGATTAGGTCACAGAGTTAGTAAATATAAGCGTTGGGATTCCATCCTAGGTCTCATCTATAAGTTTTTGGAATTCATTTGGCTACATTATAAGGCATACTTTACCTGTCAGAAGGGAAGGGGATGGGCCAGATGATATCTAGACCTCAAACTTAAGATCTGATTCTTATGATATGGTCACAACTATACACAGAATTTACTACATAAACCTTACATATGGAGCAGCATAACACTACATTACTCAGGATACAACTTCAGATAGTGGTTTTGTAACTCTTGCCAGTGAAATGTCTATACATGGGTTTAAATAAGTACATCCCTATAGGTAAGAGGGGTTGGTACCTCTATCTTTGAACCAGGCTTTAGAAAGTGCTTGTGTTTTGGTCCTCTTTCAGAATAATGAATCATTTTGTCTTTGAATCATAGAATCATAGATTTTGAGCTAGAAGAGATCTTAGTCAGAAGGCCAGTTAGTCGAGCTCCCTCATTTTACAGAGGAGGAAACTGAGCCTCAGAGAGGTTAATTTACCTGTCCATGGTCAGATAGTGAATAAATATGAGAGGCAACATTCAAACCCAGGTCTTCTTAAATCTCATACTTCAACACATATATACCATATATTTCATCCAAAAACAAAAACCAAGCTATATTTTCTAACTAGTCTTACCTTTTGTCATTTATTGGGTTTATAGAATTCTTTTGTAGAAACAAAAGAAACATGACAGATGTAGATATGTGATAACTCAAACCAGCTAATTTACTTGTCTAGGATGATTCTTCTAATGTGTTCCCTTGAAGAAATTCTCCTTACTCATGAGTCCACAACTGTTTGAGTAAGATAGTGATTGTTTGAATCCCTGTTTTACACCAAAATATCACATATTCCCTTTTCTAGATGACAAAGTGGTAAGAGGTATTCTTTCATTAGTTACCCATTAATGTTCACTTTCCTTCTGCAAGATCATGAAGGAATATTTCCTCCCTACTCAAGGAATCTTCTAATTTAGGAAATTAGTGCAGGCTACAAAACCATAATGGGGAAAATGCAAACATTTATTTTTATTTGCAAATGCTGTTTTCTGCCAGTAGTTGGTGCTCACAAAACCTCTTAAGTTACAATAACTTTCAGTAAACTCAATGAATACTTTAAAAAAATATCTAGTGATAAGAAAATTACAGAAAAAATTTTATTACACTGTTGAAAATGTTTTGAATCCAAAATTTACTATCTTATGCAAAGGTTATTAGCAGTTATTCTGGTTATTAAAAAGATTTTTTAAACATGTATATGTTCCTGGTTTAAGACAATTTTTGACTTGAAACTCCAGGCCTGTAGTTTTCTAGTGTTGATGCATTGGATTTTAAAATCTTACATACTTATTACATAAATATGTATATGTTTGCATAAACACATTGTTTTTGTTGCTGATTTTTATAAAATGAAATTTTTAATCCTATTTACCACAGAGAATCTCCTTCTGCTTGCAAAAACAAACAAAAAACAAACAAAAATACCTCAGAGAAACCCAAACAGCAGCAGGTAATCTTATACTTAATTCTTTGTTTTTTTTAATATAACAAACAATTAGAAACCTATTAATTACAAAAACTCCTTAATGATACCTAGAGCAACCAGAGATAGTTTTTTTTTTCAAATTTAAATTCATATTTCTAACAGTACTTGAAGTAATTAAGAAAGCTTCTGGTTGTTCTATTTGGTAAGGAATGGCTTCTTTCTGATATATAATTAAGAGGAACTAATAATGATGATGTAGCACTTCCAAAGTTTTAAAGGCATACCTATATAGGCCTACAGTTAACATGCAAGGTATCCAACAGGCAACACAAAATTTATTGTAGTAGTCATTCAATTATCAACATTCAAGAAGGTCTAGACAGCAGCACAACTGTTCTATGTCAGAAACACATTATAACATAAAAACAGGAAAAGTCAGATTATAACTGGGAAAATACTCCCTGTGGTAAATTGACTGTTAGAGTCCATTTAGACTTCCATCATGTGAAGACTTAATTCAGACGTCCATCTGTGTAAACAATAGAGATTAATACTGTGGAAGAAGGTCAGCACAGACTGAACTGAGGGGTCTGCCTTATTGCTACAAGACATTGACCAATCCTTCGATCTCCCCTGTAACAAATCAAAGTTTAGTGTGAAAGTAAAAGTTTTGACATAAGAGACAAAAATGGAATCATTGAGTTTCTAACTTAATTATTTCCCTTTTTCCTTTCTGAAACTGAAATAATCTCATTAGCTTATTTGTAGTGCTCAATTTTTATAAACGAGCCTGATTTTCTCTAGTGCAGGAACCCCTCCTAAGTAGTTACGTGGTTACTTGGGAAATTCATACTCAGTTTTTCAGACTATTAGGGGACCACTTAGTAAATTCTTGCTTCAGTGCTCTAAGGGGTTCACTCCTCATATCCTGGAAGAATGAACATGATGTCCCCCAAAGTAGGACTGGCTCGTGAGTAGTAGCTTTTACTTGGATAATCGGTCTTACTTTTTTTTCCAGTGGGAAAACATAAAATGTGTGCTATTATCTTCACCCCCACCCACCTTTCTCTACCACATATAATACTTATTAAATTAAGAAGGATATTCTACTAAAGATGAAGGTGATAGGTATTCTTCCCGGATTCTAAAGAACTCTCTGTTCTCTGAGAGGGATAAAAAAGTGTAGGAAAGACTTTGTTCAAACTCCTGCTAAGTTACACATATTACTTCAACTAATACAATGGTACTTGACACCAAAGTACTATAAATTATCAAAAGTATAATACAGAAAATTACAAATTCGTTGCAAAATACATTACACTGCTACAATTCAGAAAAAAAGTGCTTTTTATCTTTTGCCAGAAAAGTATTGTTCCAAAATAGAAATGAAGGGTAGTCTTCCTCTTGGAGCAAACTCCTGTGGCTTATCCTACATGTGCTATGCATTATTACCTTTTCAAAAAATGCCTATACAGAGTCTTTCAGGCTTGCTGGCTGCAGGTCTCAAAAAAATAATGGAAATGACAAGTTGTTTATACTTCCCCGGGGTTTTCATGCTCTCTCTCAAATCACTTGTGAGAAATCCTCCTTCAGATCTCTAACCACAGGGTCCTGCCATTTAGCGTTGCCTATATTGTCTCATAAGTGGTACAATGCAAGCAGGTGGACCTGCCAGTTTCAAGAAGGGATGTCCGATGAGTTCTTGTGCTGTTGCTCTCTGGGAGGGTTCTCTCACCAACATCAAGTCTAGGAACCCTCGAAGCACTGAGGAAACCTGTAATATCATACAGACATCATGAATAAGATAACATAAATCATTATACCAATAACAACTGACTTTTACAAAGTCCTTTCTGGATAAAAACAAATTAACAACAACAACAACAACAACAAAAACATTGCCTATATTATCTAACGTGATTCAGACAACTACCTTGTAAGGTAGGTAATCAAATTATTACTATCTCTGCTTTATAAGTAAACTGAAGCTGAGAGGGGATAAATCACCAGACCAAGACCACATCACTTGTAATTTCCAGAGTCAGGATTCTGATCTAGGACTTTCTTCTATCTCTAAGATTAGTATTTCTTTCTGTTACACTATACTGGTTTTTCATAGATACTTATCAGAGGTTTGTAAATTGGTTTTTCAAATATGTCATCAGAAAGCTAACTTAGACTAAACACTTAGTTCTAAGAAATAACCTTAATGGAAACATGGAAACCAAAAGGGCATTACTTTCTGTTACTAGAAATAATTTATCCTGGTAGCATCAATTTAGAAAAAAAATAGGATATGTGATAATGGTAACACACACACACACAAAGGAATTTAAAGGAATATTAATACTTTAGGTAGATGTTGAACTACAAAATCTCTAAGGTCCCTTCTAAGATTCTATGATTCTCTACTAATCTATAGATCAATTACAAGTTGAAATAACTGCTTACATAAAATATCCCTGGTCTCAGAATGCCAAAGTGGCATATTAATTACCAATTTTTTGATCTTTAATAAATCAGACAAATCCTCACCTTGTGTAGGTCTTTCACTCTTGGAGGTAAGTTATCACGGATCCTACGCATTGCCTGGAGTGGAGGTTCATTGAAGTAAGGAGGTTCTCCATCTATCATTTCTACGACCATAATTCCAAGTGACCAGATATCCACCTGTTTTACAGAGTTCATAGATTAATATTGAGGGGGAAATGGCCATTCTGAAGTACATATTTTGCCTAATGAAATCAAGTAATTCACAAATGATTCATAAATGAATTTACTTAATAATCTAAGAGGGAGGTTTTTGAAAGCATATATCCCTAGACAGGTTTCATTTAAGATATCAGTTTATCAAAAAGGAAAAAAAATCTAATTTCTCATAGAGGGTTCTGGTTGGCCTTGTAACAAAGTCAAGCTAATCAATAACATTCTACAAATGCAACTGTATATATTACTATTTCAAAGTTTGTTGCTTTCATTACAACTTTTTACCACCAGCAGCTGCCTGCCAGGTCCAGACAGTAAGTCTTCAAAAAATAAAAAGAGGTTGTCAAAATAACAACATACTTAAAGCTCTCTGCTTAAGAAAAATTTCATTTAAAATACTTTATGTAAATATGAAACAATAGGATACTGAAATTTACATTACTGTTAGTAGACAGAAAGCAAATTTAAAATAGTGTCATGTCCTGGAAACAACTTAAATGCTGAGCAACAGGTGAAACTGTAGTCCATTAATTTAACAGGAGAGGCAACATGACATATTATAGTGGATAGAGAACTTCCTTCAGAGTAAGGAAGTCCTGGGAATCAAGTCCCATCTCTTACATATACTAGCTTTGTGACTCTGGGTAATTCACTTAATGACTTAATGCCCCAGGGAACTGTCCAAAAGTACACGGCACTCACAGGTCTATATTAGTAGAGAGAATTTCTTCCTTGGAAGTCCCTATACCAATCAAACCAAAGGAATAGACCATTTCCCCACTACCTGCTGCCAACTTATAAAGAAAATTTACTTGGTTGTATTGTTAAAAATTAAGTTTTCAATGCAAATTGTTAATAATAAAACAGGAAGTTAAAAAAAAAAACCCAGAAGTACAGCTGTTTCGGCAAAACTTTCCTTTTTAGCAACCTTTTGATTCCATGCTGTCTTTTAAAACCAGAATGTACAGCAGTTGACTTTATAAATCCAGGTTCGGTGTACAGGGAGAAGAATAGGCAGATGACACAGAAGGATTTCTGGTTAAAGAAAGGGAAGTCTGAATAATGGGAATGAAATAACCACACTATCAATTTCCAGTTACTGCCACATCTTATCTGTTGGATATATTCCTATCATAACCTATACAATGGCCTTTATTTACAGTTTTTATGTCAGGGCCAAGATGAAAAAATTAAATTGAGTAAATCATACAATTTTACACAAGTTGCAATACACACACACATCCTCAGATTTCATTCAGTCCATTTGCTCAGTTCAGTGACTCTTGCCACATCTTTCCATTTAGTCTGCAGCTATACAATGAGGTGGATTCCCCCCTCCCCAACACACAAATATATTGGATCTTATGGATTACAATAGTTGATAATTCATTCAGAGTAGACTCCTTGGGAAACTGAAATACCTTTTCAAATGAAACTTAATTAACTGTGATAGAAAATTTTTATCCTTTGAGAGTAGATTCGAGTTTTAGGAGAGAGCTAAACATAATTAAGATTCAATTATGACTCTAGGATCATAGATTTAAACATGTTTGGGATTTTAGAGGCTGATACTCTGTCTCCCTTAACACATCCTCCCCTTCCATTTTGAAGATGAGGAAACTGAAGTACAGAGAGGTTAAGGGTGAAGTGAATTACCCAGGGTCATACAACTACTGAATTGTTCAGGAAGGATTTGAACCCAGTTCCCCCTGACTACAATTCTAGTGTTCTGCCAATTATGCTATGTTGCCTTTCTAAATAAAGTAAATGATTTAACTGGGTAGTAATGCCATTTTTGTAATTTGGAAGGAAAAAAAATAAAAGATGTGATTGTGGAGTAATGAAACCATGAGAATAAGTTTCCGTCTGTGGCTCTGAAGACATCATCATATATATGTGTGCATATATACATATAGAAAGAGAGATATAGACAGATATAGGTATATTAACATACACACATATTTACATATGTAATATACATACACACATATACATGTAAATATATGTATATATGTATATATATGTAAATATATAATGTATATGGAATATACATATATTTATATATTCGTTGTGCATATGTCTGTGTGCATATGTGTATGTAAATTTATTGAGTTTTCACAATCTTCCTGGCCTGGTGACATGCAGAAATGCTTTTATGTATTTCACGATTACAGAAAGGATGGATTTTTTTCCTTACCTCTGTTCCATAAGGTAGTCTAGATATGACCTCTGGTGCCATCCAGTAAGGAGTGCCAACCAGTGATTTCCTCTTTGGGACTTCTTTAGAAACTTGGGCACAGAAACCAAAATCAGATAACTTTACCTGGAAAAAGAATAGATGCAAGAGCATGAGCCTATTGGCCATATTTTCTGTCATTCCCTATAGATATCAATGGAGTAAGATACAAAATTAAAAATTAAATGAGTTGTCATTTTCTGTACGTTAGCAAATAATATAGTCATTACTTTATCAGATATTTTCATCTGCTCTGTTATGCTTAGCACAGTTCTAAGTGTTCAATATATATCCGATTTTCTTTTAAAATGATGTCTTCAAGGCATTATATGTATCATATACATATATATCCATCCATATATATGTATATATATATATATATATATACACGTGCTGATTTTCTTTTAAAATGATGTTCTCAACTATACTATTATGTATATGATGGGAAAATAAAAACAAGATTATTGGATGCTCTAAAGATAATCAGATAATCATCATCTAATAATATCTTCACATATCAGTCAGCTAATAAGTATTTATTAAGCTCCTACTATGTTCCAGGCACTGTGCTAAGGGCTGGGGATAAAAAGAAAGGCAAAAGATAGTCCCTGCTCTCAAAGGAGCTCATGGTCTAATGGTGAAATGAGTGGAATATTCTCCCTATTAATATTCATTCTTTAAAGCTTTACCAGCATACCAGTTCTTCCATGGAGTCTTCCTTCCTCACAAGATTATAATCTCCTTAAAGGGAGAGGTGGTTTCATTTTTGGTTTTTAACTCCCAGAGTGTTGCACAGTGCCTGACACATTGTAGGAACTTATTTAAGTGTTTTCAGATTAACTGATTCCTTGATCTCTTGTTGGCTAAATACCTTCTTCCATCTCTGACCATGCATAGCATTTTGTTTTACACATTTCTTTGCACTTCTATTAAGTTTTGTAGTACTATTATCTGCATATGTGGGGATTTTTTTCCACTTTATAGATTATAAGATTTAAGAGGACAAAAACTATGTTTTAGCTCAACATTTTAATCTCTACCACTGCTTACCATAGTGATCAGCAAGCACACTGTAATACCTAAGAAGTGTTGGTTGGTTAAAACTTAATTCTAAGAAATATGCCTGTAGAATGGAAGGAAGGGAAATAGATTCTTAAAGGAAAAGTTAATTCCTATCATTTCTCTTTCCTGATCATAAACTTCAGGATCGATAAACTATGTGAACAAAGGGAATGCCAAAAATTCACTATCAGGAGTGACTGATTTATCATCTCTTCAATGTAGATTTCTCTTTCTAGGATTCAAGATGACTGGAAGCCTAATAATGTTTCTCCATGACAAACAGAAGGGAGATCACTACAAATTTCTACAAATCAGAATCACTACAAATTTTGAAAGCCAAGACTATTTTTTCTATCATCGGAGTGTAAGAGTTTTAAAATATCTATTGCTCATCTGAGTACATAAGAGACAATTTTCCAAAAAAGAGATAATTATATACAATGTATCCCTAAATAAATCTGCAATGCAGATAATGAGTACCCATGTAATGAGTATAATGAAGAATTGTGTGTAGGTGCTAAAAGCAAGTAGTATTGCCTCTGAGATGTTCCTTTTTCTAGTTTTGATAGAGCTGTACAACTTTTAGTAAAGCACCTTTACTCAAGAATCCCATGTAGCTTAAGAAAAGTTGGGTTAAAGGGAAGGTCTGCTAAAATGAAAAGGGGCAGCTTGTTAGGCAAAGACCATCTTGGGAACCAGCCTATTAGGAATTGCCTTTACTTGTGTTTATAGATTTAAGAAGTGCAGTGGAAAGAGCAGTGGACTTGGAATCAGGAATACTTTATTTTCCTGAGTGCAAATCCAAATTCAGACACTTACTAGCTGTATGTCCCTGGGCAAGTCAACTAACCCTGTTTGCCTCAGTTCCTCATCTATAAAATGAGCTGAAGAAGGAAATGGCAAACCATTCCAGTTTCTTTGCCCAGAAAAGCCCAAAAGGGGTCACGAAGAGTCAGACAGGACTGAAACTACTGAACAACAACCACCACCACAAACTAACTAGATTAAATATTTACTTGAACCTTAGCTCAACAGTGAGAGGATGCTGTGTTAAGGTAGGAATTAAGAAGCCATAAAAACAAGTTTTGGGGAATAGAAAGGTTGGGGGTTAGGGTAAAGGTAGAGGGAAGAAGCTACAATCACATGAAAAAATCAAAAACATGTCATTAAAGAGAATTTCAAAAATCAGCCCAAAAATTTAGGAAATTCCTACACAGGATCATGAATGCAGAGGAGGAAGGGACCTTGGAGGTAGGCTAATCCAAACTCCTCTCTTTATAGATGAGGAAACTGAGGACTAAAGAGGTTTCTACTCCATCATGAGGCAGCTGGGTATCCCAATGCATAGAGCGCTAAACTTGTCTGCCTCATGTACTCTCTAGCTGTGTCACTATGGGCAAGTCATTTGATAAACACCTTTCATCTTCAGTTTCTTCATTAGTCAAGTCAACAATCATTGATTAAGCATGTGTCAGACACTGGGATAAGCTCTGGAGATACAAAAAAAGGCAAAACACAGTTCCTGTTCTCAAGAAGCTCATAGTCTGTTTGGGGAGAGATCATGAAACAATTATGTACAAACATGATCTATACAGGATTCACTTGGGGGAAGTCTCAAAAGAAGGGGACTCAAAAAAAAGTAAGGAGGATTAGGAAAGGCTTCTTGTAGAAGGTAGGCCTTGAGTTGAAACTTAAAGGAGGTAAGGGAGGCCAGGAGGTGAAGATAAGGAATGGGAGCATTCCAGGCTTAGAGGACAGCCAGTAAAAATGTCCAGAGTCAGGAGGAGATGGAGCATTTTATTCAAGGAACAGAAAAGAGGCCAGAGTATGTAGGGAGTATTGCAGAGTATGTAGGGAGGGAGTAAGGTTCAAGAACTGAAAAACGTTGAACAGAATTGAATCTACCTCACAACGTTGTTGGAGGGCATCATATGAGTTAACATGAAAAATGCTTTGCAAACCAAGTGCTATATAAACTGCTAAATACGGTTGGTGTTTTTGTTCTTAATGTCACCTAGATAGTAGTGGATGGCTAAAGAATTCATTGAACTGAATTCTTCAGATTCTATAGCTAGCATTCTGATGAACACTAATGAAATGTGAGCTTCTTGAGAACAGAGACTATTAAAATTTTGTCTTTATTTCCCAGCACTGTACTTAATGCTCAATAGATACTTGTTCATTAATTATACTGTGGCGTCTTCCCTGTTAGGTGACTGTTGTGTTTGTTATGGATTTCTCAGAGAAGAAGTAAGGTGTTAGAGAAGAGGAAAAGAAGTTGCAATGCAGTGGTATAATAAGATTTAGAGCTAGAAATCATCTAGGACAAGCCTATGATTTTGTCAATGAGGAAACTGAGGTATGGATGATATGAAATAGGTTACCTAAGGTTGCAAAGTAACTAAGCTACAGCTAGGATTGGAACTTAGGCAATGTGACTATAAATGCAATGATTTCTCCTACACCAGGATGGATAAAAAGAGATCTCAGAAATAACTAACTGGGCATAAACCCAGGTTTTTTTGGCTACCAAATCTGGAAGCCAAAGAAGTAGGAACAGTGAGGAATCATCCAGGTATGAGAGTGCCCAAGATTTTTCAGAACTGTATGACTTTTGACAAGTTATTTAACTCTAGGAATCTGCTTTCTAATGTGTAAAATGGACAGGGTGTGTAAAGAGGGAAGAAAGACTGGCCTGGGCCAGAGAATCTTTTGAGTTTCTCCTAACTCTTCAATGATTCTATGAGATTTACTCTGTGTCCTCTTCTCACTACAGCTCTTCATTAAAAAATGGGGATAGTCATTTGTTATATGTCCTTTTATTCACATATAAGTTAGACTAGAAGGTATGTGAAATGTTTTCTGACTTTGAGATTCTCTGATTCTAAAACTCTTCCTTGATATGATCCCTAAAGATAGTTGTCCTGGGCTTCAGGCTTCCTTACAGTAACCTAAATATTGAAAATAGATATATAGAAAAGAAAGCAATGATCTCACAGTGTCAACATGGCTTCGTGTTGATCAGTTTAAGCTCACAGTCGTGATAGATTAACATCATTTTTAATCCTGATATACTTGCTTAGTAGACTGTAGATCAGAGGAATCCTGTTGGCCTCCATTTTAGCAAAACTTTTGACAAAGTCTCTTGATATCCTCGTGGACAAGATGGACTGATATGGGCTAGATGAAAGTATGTTTAGTTGGATTTACAATTTCTTGAATGATTAACTTTGAATTTGGTTCTTTTTAAGAGATTAAAAAAAGAAACAGAGAAAAGATAAAAAGATATTCAGTCCCCGGGTACCTCAGAAATCTAATGAACTGGAAAATCTTTGGCAAAACTGGAACAGTAGTAACTATTATATGAACATCTTAAATAAAACCATACTACTCCCTATCATCCTATTTTATTTCTTTACTTTCATGCCTTTCTTTAGAGCTATAGTCTATCATTTTATTATATGGACAAGAAGCCAGACAGTCAGTAAGCATTGATAAAGCACCTATTATGGGCCAGGGACTATGCTCAGAGCTAGGGATACAAAGAAAGACAAAAGATAGTCTATTCTCTCAAATAGCTCACGTCTAATGGGGAGATAGCGATGCACAAACAAGATAAATATGTGTGTGTGTGTGTGTATACATATATGATAACACATATTTTTCATATATATAATAAATTGGAAAAAATAACAGGGGGAAGGCAGTAGCATTAAGAAGGTTTGAGAAAGACTTCTGAAGAAAGGTGTAGTTTTAGCATGCAACTGAAGGAAGCCAAGGAAGCCAGGAGGTAGAGATGAGGATGGGAAGAATTCCAGCCAGTAAAAACATCCAGAGTCCCAAGATCCTGGAGTGTGTTGTGGCAGGAATAGCAGGGGGGCCAGTATTACTGGATGGCAGAGAATACAGTTAGGTAAGTAAGATGTAAGAAGAAGAGTGGGCCAACTCAGTTTCCTTATATATAAACTGGGGATAATAAAAGAAGGCCTATTCCATCTATTTCTCAGGGCTTTGAAAAGTATAAAGCATGGCATTAAAAAATGTTAAGAACTCTTTTAAAAAATTTTTTTAGTCAATTTATACACACAGCTGGGAGCTATTAGAAAAGAGTTAAAAATTGGTGGAAAAATGCTAAAAAAATACTAGTGTAGATAAATCTTTTTTTTTTTTGGCTCTTTGACTAAGCAAACTTGGCTGGAAGGAGATCCAAAGGCCACTCAATGAACACAGTATTCCTAGCTCTCTAGATTCCCCTTGACTCTCAGAATCATTTCTGAAAGAAGTCTGATCCAGTGCCAAGATAGCCAGACATTTATGACTATGCTACCTTTGGGAAAAAAGAAGTAACATCTCAGAGAGGTTTTCTTCCATTTATCATCAATTCCATGGCCCTCAGTGGCAGGAAGAGGGGTCAAGTAGGCCATCTTGGTCAAATTCCACTTTACATCCATTCTACTAATCCAAATTTCCTTTGAGGGTTGAGCTCTTCTTTTCTTCCTTCACTTCTCTGTACTTATTTTCTAAACTGTAAAGCAGCTGATACATTCAAGGAATATATGAAATGGCTGCTGGGACTACCTGTCCAAGCAGGTAGTATCTATGGAAACATTAACCATAACTGGGTTTCAATCCCTTGGAGAGCCCAGACAGATAGGTTATGCCTTCAGTTAAATTTGGAATAGAATCACAAGAGATATTTTAATTCATGCTAATTTTTGTTAGGATTAAAGCAGTAAGAGGAAAATTAAATTTCTACACTCCCTGAGTTTCTGTACTCACTACTCTAGCAACAAAATGCACCTTAAATTTGGGTTGTAGGTTAAGGTGATGGATGGGATGACATTTTCAGATATTATGATCATAACACATGATGTCCCTCTTCATAAATCATGTGCAGATGGGAGGTAGAGACAATAAATTGGGAAATTCAGATTCTAAAGGAACAAATGTCTCTGGGAAAGCTGTTCTCTGAGGCTGATGTCCACAGCTGATGATCAGATTTAATTGTGTGCTTTCACTAAAAGGTAAGGAAAATCTTAATATCTTACTCGACCATCACTCGTCAGAAGGATGGAGTCACTCTTGATGTCTCTGTGAATAACCCCTTGATTGTGAAGGTAAGAAAGGGCCCTCAGGACCGATAAACAGACTGTAGCTATCTGTTCTTCATTCATTCTAAAAAAAAAAAAAGAAATTATGTTATAAAACAACTTTAAAGAATTAAGGATACCTTTTAAGCAATTATCAAATGGACAGGTTTAGAGTGTTTTCAGGCTAATTAGTTCTGGCTAATGCAGATGTAAGCAATTTGGCTTCATCTGGTAGATAGTAGATGCTTAATAAATACTTGTTAACTGACATTTAATTTGACTCACACAACAATCTTTAAGTCAGCACAAAGTTGATGTCAATGGGCCCCAAAGGCTTACCTATTAAGTCTATCCTAAGTAAAAGTTATTCCTCCCTCTTGACTATTTGGCAATTGGGACAGTTGGTGGTGCAGTGTATAGAGTGTCAGGCCTAGAATCAGGAGGACCTGAGTTCAAAGGTGGTCTCAGATCCTTACCTGTTTGCCTCAGTTCCTTGTCTGTCAAATGAGCTGTAGAAGGAAATGGTAAACCCCTCTAATATCTTTGCTAAGAAACCCCAAATGGGATCATGGAAAAGCAGGCACAACTGAAATGACTCAACAACAAAATTTACATATTAATTATAACCCACACTAATACTGTAGTAATTCTAAATGGTTTCTGAATATATTTTAACTAGCTTAATGCCCTCATACAATGAAGTTATATGAGTAACAGATAGGGTAGACTGAGAGAAAAAAGAATTCTCTCTATTGATGGGAACATATGCCCAGTTCACATAAGATTATGTAGGCACTTAATTACACTCATTCAAAAGATAATAGTGATATTCTTGGCTAAAGCAAATTAAGTAAACAAGGGAAAGGGCTGGGCTAGGCAAGGGAGTTCAGGGCAGGGCAGGGCAGGGAAGAGGAGAGAAGGGAAGGGAACCTGTAGGTAATTTTGTCTAACTTATCAATGTCAAACTGCCAGTGTTGACATCTAACAAAGACACACAAAGCTGTAGTTTCTTTCCATAGTTATGGCAATTACCTAGAAGGGAAAGCCACAATTTATTTTGGAATTCGTTTATGCTGACATCAGCCAAATATGTCTTAAATTATCACACAAAGTGTATAATATTCCTTCTGATGCATTTTTCTCCAACATATGAGATTTTAATTTGTTCCAAGCAGACAATCAAAATCTGCAGGTGGCCTATAATAATAACTGACTGCATTATATTGTTAATCACCATTTGAAAAGTCATCTCTCAGAAGTTCAGGCTAGATCTGCTAAGATTTTCTAAGACTGATCTCTAACTCAATGAATTTGAGCTATTCAGGGCTAGCTGAAGTTCACAGTATTATCATTATTTTTCTTTATTTCTAGAAACCTCTCCATGCTAAACAGAATTTAATTCAGAGGAATGAGAATGAAATTTATTTCATCTAATCACTCAATTTATTGACATTTATCAAAATTGTTAAAGTAGAAACTTCCCAAATGAGAAGACAAAAAGATAGGTCCACTATGTTATATCAGGAGGAGGAAGAGAGAGCTTAGCAGACAATAAGCATCCTTTCCCTGATTTAATCCTAAAAATTGAATTTTTTTTTTAAGGGAGGAAAAGGTTTCTTTTGGAAAGAAATTTGGAGAGCTTTTTTCCACATGTTGCCACATGAACAAATTCCCCTTTGGACTATCATCTTTAGAATCTGGAAAAGTCTAGGATTTGCAGGTTCCTCTGTTCTCAGGAACCTGCAGAGTGCATTGCCTCAGGAAGGAGGAGACTTGCCTGAATGTATCTAGATCTGTGCTAGGGCTCCCACGAAGACAACATCCTACCAGCTGAACCTGCAGTGAAAATTGGTGAAAATCCTCACCACCTCTTCAGTGGCCTCCCTTTTGTGGCTGGAAGCTGCTACCAATTGGAAAAACCAGTCCATCCTTTTGTGCTTCATCAGTCATCTACCAACATAATTGTACTTTAACAAAGCTTCCCTATCTTCTCCTCACTGAGGCTTACTCTCCTGGCTCCACTTTCGTTTATGGAACTCACAGGGAGGCAAGAGGCAGAAGCAACTGGATGGAAGGTACTTCTTTTACTTTCAAGATTGTTTTAAAACAAAGCAGAAGTCTATTTCTCTCTTCTTATATGTAACAAAACGATATTCTATGCTTGGTCTTATAACTGCTCTTTTTCATTTAAAATAAATTTGAAAATATCTCTTGTCTTGCCCCTCTCTTCAATTTCCTGTAGCATACAGTATTAATACACTTCCTCCATGCTTGGAATACTTCTCCTTCTGACTTCTGCCTCTTAGTTTGCCTGGCTTCTTGAGAGAAGGTAGTCCAAACACTACTTTAGAGAAGAAGCCACTCTTGGTTGCCAAGCTTCTAGAGCCTTCCCCTCCAAGTATCTACCAGCTACTCTATATGGATCTTTCATGTAGCTATTGATTTCTATGTTGTTTCCCTGACTGAAGTGATATCTCCTTGAGGCCAGGGACTGTTTTTGTCTCTCTTGATATCCCAGCCACTTAGTGAAGTTCATAGCACAGAGAAAGCATGTAATAAATGAATATATGTTGACTGATTAAAAAGGGAAGAGTATAATTCAGTTTTATACTATTTATCACTGAACATTTATCATTTGCAAGAGCATGTAAACATCAATTCAAGAGATATTTAAATGGGGGCTTATTCCCTGTATATTCTATGAGGAGTGTTCTGTGATGGTAAGATGCATTGCCTACTTATGAAATTCTTAGAATTAAATTGAGATATTAACAAAGTTGATCTAATGATCACATGGGTCACTGGTGTACCACCTGTGAGGGAAAGGTAAGTGTATCAAAAAAAAGAGTCTCTAGGTACTAAATAAACTTACCTCATGTGAGTTACTATTTCAGTCAAAGCCCCACCTTCTAGGAATTCCATGACAACCCACAGCTCATCACCAACAAGATAACTATTGTACATGTCAACCACATTGTCATGATGGTAATCTCTCATTATCACAACCTGTATAAAAGAAAAGGAATTGACCTCGCTGTTAGTTGGCAAAGAGGTGGTCTGGAATAATAAATGTGGTTTTGGATCCAGGGCCAGGAAGACCTGGGTTCAAATCCTGCCTCTCACATTTACCAGCTGTGTCCACTTGGGCAAGTTACAAAACCTCTTTGTGTATCAAGAGATTCTATAGGACTTATCCACTAAGTCACAAATGGCAGCCCCTGGAGTAACATACTGACAAAATCAAAAATCCTTCACATATTTGTTTGCATGAGAAGTTGAAATCCTATTTTTTCCTCTCGAGACAGTTCTTCTCAGTATTAGACTCACTATTAGACTTTTAAAACTGATAAATGTGTAAGAGTGGGATTCTATTCTCCTCACCCTAATCAATCAACACAGTAAAGTGGGTATTAAGTAATTTCCTTTTTTAAAAAAAAAAATCCTTACAAGAAGTGAATAAGTCTTTAATCAATTTGAAAGGACCATGGAATTTGGGGCCATTGGATGAAAGGTGGAAGATGCCATACAGGAAATATATTGTGATTGGCTCATAAGATAAAGTCATACCATCATACTTCTTGGACTATTTATAAAAATAGCAGTTAAGTTGAGCAGTGTATCAGGCAAGTGGTGAACCTGATTCTTCCCCAGAGAAATTGGAGGTGGTAATGAGCATATCAAGGCTACACAGACAAGATTCTTAGAGAATCAAATTGATTTCCATAGATTTTTAAAGATAACATGCATTTATCTTTATGTCTGTCTATAATGTTATAGTTTCTGATTCTTGATCAATTAATCTCCAAGAATATTTTGAGAACGTGTTTAAAAAGAGAAAGCTAAGGAGGTCCATAGATTCTGGCAGTAGGGTGATAATAGGTTTTAGAATTATAATTATTGCTATTAATACTTCACCTAATATTTTCAATAATAATAACATGCCTCTAGATGGGGCACTGACAAGCATGACCTAATAGCAACACTGATTGTCAAGACACTGTATCTGATGGGAAAAAATAATTTAATTAACCAGAGTCTTTGAGTGGCCTCTAAACACTAAACATGTTTACTTAGAAGGAGTTTATCTGTGAAAGAATTACCTTCTAGGAACTCCATGAAAACTCAGAGCTCATCATGAACAATTACCCATTAGGGTGAACAAGTGATTTGACTGCTAAGGAATCTCAGTTTTCTCAGTGATAAAGAAGAGTATTCTTTCATAGAATTATAAGGTTTAGAGATGCAAGAGACCTTAGAGCATATCTAATCTGGCCCCTTGATTTTATTGATAAGAAAAAGAAGGCTGAGAAAGGAACAAGTAAACCACTCAAAGTCACTCAAAGGTATTAAAAGCAAAGCTGGGATTTGGTGTAGTGGATAGATGGCTGTATTTGGAAACAGACAATCTTGGTTTGAATCCTGACCCTGCTACTTTATTACCTTTGTGACCTGGGACAAAGCCCTAAAACTCTCTGGGCTTCAGTTTCTTCCTCTGTAAAACAAGGGGGCAGGATTAGAGAGTCTGAGGCCTCTTCTAGCTCAAAATCTCTGATCCTATGCACCCATGTCTTCTGAGCCCCAATCCAGTGTTCCCACTGTTAAAATATTTGCAGAGTCTCTCATCTCCTTCCATGAGACTTCATCATTAGATATTATGAGGTTTAATTAGAAAACAGTCCCTGCATTCTGTGTGTTCCACAGACATTGGTACCTAAAGAAGATTTAGACTATTGATTCCCCCTGACCTTTTCTAGCTACATTTAACACAGCTTCAAAAATTGGTCAACGAGACCAGAACATCTGAACGATTACAGGGCTCTTAACAGTTGACCAATCTCTTGAAATACATATTCCAGGGCCAATCACTCTTTCATCAAGTAAAAGAAAAGTGCTTGGGACACATGGTTTACCTCATTAAAAAGCAGCTCACGCCGCTGTTGTTTCCTCAGGTCCATTTTCTTTACCGCAACTTGTTTTCCTGTGGGTTTCTCAGTGGCAAGATAAACTATTCCAGTTGACCCTTCTCCTATTTTAATAAAATTATCCAGGTATTCTCGAGGGTCACCAGGGCTAACCACAAGCTGTAGAGCAGCCCTGAATTGTTCGTGGGACACCCTAGAGGGCTGCTGGTCTGAAGATGAACCCCAACTAGGTGGGGGATAAGCAGTTGAAGAGATGCTTGGGGAACTTGGATAGGAAGCTGTGGAGATGTACTGAGAGCTGTTCTGGAGACCAGGCTGATGGTAGTGAGCAGCCTTGTGATACCCAGAAGGATACTGGTAGCCACTTGAGGAATAGTTAACTTTGTTCTGACTTTGAGGTAGTTTGATGGGGCCCCGAGGGTAAGTGTCAGATCCACACAGAGTTGGGCTAATAGCCATCTGTGCTCGATCATAGTCCACCTGGTGAAGGAAATAACAATAGTCATCATTGGTAGTCTTCATATCAGTGTCAGCTAGTCTGTTCATAACATTGGTTGAATAATGAATGTGTGCAGAACATCATTATACTGGGCCCAAACTGGGCAAAAAATAAAGTAAGGGAAGTCTGTCTTGGGTATCCCCAAGTCTGGAATTTTAGTCCCCTTACCACTCATACACATACCCAGCGCCTTTAGGTTGTCTTCCTTCCTCCTATCAAAATCTAATGTCAAGATTAGTTATTTACACCTTATTTTTATACCTTATGTTATTAGTCATTTATATGTGAGTGTAATTTTCACTAAATATTTTCCCTCTCCTTTGATAGTGATATTTTTGGCCTTCTCTCGTTGAAATAAAAGGCTTTGCATTGCTAGAGCAATTGAAAGCATCAAGGGGAAGGTGAGAGAGTACTACAGAGCAGATGGTCCTTCTCAGTGCCCTAGAAATCATACTATATAAGTAGCTATCTACACCACTTTCCCACAAGGTTGGCTGTGGAGTTGCTGACTTCTGCTGCCTGATTTCTTTCAGAAATGCTCTTTGGGTGGGCTATACTGTGATAGACCTAGAGACTTCAGGCTACTCCCTGGCTGTTCAGAACCCTCTACTTTTCTATTGTGTCGAGACTGCCCAGCCTGAAGAAGGCCCTGTGCTTCAAATCTCTGGCTCCTCTGTCCCCCATCAAAATGTATCTGTCTTATTCTTATTTCATCTGTACTTCACTGTGTGATTCCTAGAAAATTCTAAAAACTCATAAAAATTTAAGTGACTAATCATTACTAAATGTTTACTTTACCCTAAAATAATCTTTATAATTAGATGGTGGAGATACCATGCCTTACCCATAAAAGGGAATTTATAATGGCTGCAGTCAAGGGAAGTTTTGTTCAAGATTCCTCCAGTCACAATTCAATTCCATTAAAATAAAACAAAACATTTACTTTCTATTTACTATGCATAAAGCAAGAAATAATGTTGCATAGCATATAGCAAGCTGACTTCTCTGTCAGAATGACCTGGATTCAATTTCTGTCTCTGACACCTATTGGCTATGTGACCCTGGTGGAGTCATTCATCCTCTCACTGATCTAAGCAACACTATAAGATTTTTCTTAACTTTTGTGTGTCATGGATATCTTTAGTACTCGGGTGAAGCCTATGGACCCCTCCTCAGAATGATTTTAAATAGAAAGACAAAATACATAGGATTATAAAGGAAGACAATTGTATGGGGCAAATTACCAAAAAACCCCAACAAGTCCATAGATTGTAGCATTTCTGACCTAAGACTGTAAATTATACAGAAATCAGAGATCTGTATTGGTAGAGTTTCCTCATTAGAAGTTCCTTCTTTTGATGAATGTCCATACCACACACATATAATCTTGTCAGAAAATTAAAAATTTCTGCTTTGTCTCTCTTCTGTTATCATCTGAGCAGTACTCTTATTTCCTTTTCTCCATTCTCCTTCCAAATGTCAGTGGCACAGTACATAAAGGATTAGATCACTAGTCTGAAAGTCTTGAGTTCAAATTTGATCTCAGATACCTTCTAGCTCATCATGATAAAAATAAGCAACACTCTTATTTCTATCCCCTATGCATGTCTTTTCAAAAACTAAGTTGGTTATAGTTCCTGTAAATCTCATTTTTCTCTGTAGAAAACTCTTTATTTTTTGACTTCTCATCAGAATTGTTTCTGAATACACACACACACACACACACACACACACACACACACACACACACACAGGTGTCAGGGATACAAATACCAAATAAAACATGCCCTAACCTCAAGGACGTCACATTCTTCTTTTTATGTTATATAAGGAACATTATATGACTATGTACTTTATTTTGCATGAATTGGGTATGATATGCACATAGTAGATACTTAACAAATGCTACTGTTATTATTAATGCTAAATTGGTTATTGAGACTTAATGCTAAATATTTAAAGTCACTAAGTACTGATTGGATTATCCTCTACAAGGTTCCTATTGTGATGCCTCCTAATGGAAGAAAGGTCACCCTGGATTCTTGAAGGCTATGTTGTCTTATTTCATCCTCCAGCAGGACCCACAAAGGTACAGGACAGCTTTGAGGGCAGACCTTGCAAGAGAATGTGTCCACAGCTTGACTATCTAAGTACACAGGGATTTATCACTGGAAGGTCACCCAGTAGGTGATGAATTCTTTGACCATGGCAAACCATAAAAGATAAAAATTATTTCAATAAAGACCTTTAGTCCTGTGTGGCCCTCTTCTACTTCTATTTTTGCAGTGATAGTGGTGGAAAATATCAGAAGATACTAAGAACCCCAGTGTTTAGAACATTTAAACCAGTCATTTAACTTCTGGTGCTTAAAATGTGAGCTATATGTTTAATGACCTGGAGGAGACAAACTACTGCTGGAATGGAACTAATACCCTAGCAAATAGCTATGGTATAAAAAGAATAGCAAGATACGCAGAAGTTCACATGAAATAATTCAAGCCAAGAACCACTAATAAAGTTCATGGTTTCAGATGTCTAGATACAAAGGAACAAGATATGGGTACCAATCAAGATAAACTAGAGAGTGTAATACAAAAAAGCAAATTTGACCTCATGGGAAAGATTGAGACTTGGTAGGAAAAGACCCAAGACAAGAATGTAGTTTTGCAAGGGTATATTTTATTTCAAAGAAACATAATAATTAAAGAGAGAGGGAGGGAACAAATGCCACTGTATATTAAGAAGATATATCAGTGTCAGGGTAAATGACACTGTAAATGAAGTGAGAACCATGAGAAGCATGGTGGAAAGCATTTGGGGAAGTTTACTGGAGTGAGAAGCAGATGGGATATTGTTATTGGAATACTTTACAAACCACTTAGACCAAAAGAAGATATAGATGAGTAGTCTGGAAAATAGACCTGCAATGGGGCAGCTAGGTGGCACAGTGGATAAAGCACCAGCCCTGGAGTCAGGAGGACCTGAGTTCAAATCTGACCTCAGACACATAACATTTACTAACTGTGTTACTCTGAGCAAGTCACTTAACCCCAAATGCCTTACCCCTCCACAAAAAACAGACCTGACACCAAAGCATGATAAACTGAAGTCTTGATGGTGAGCTTCATTCACACAAACACATGCTGAAGCTCTCTCTCTCCCCAAAGCAAAACAATTAATAATTTCTTCATTACTTTAATGATACATTCATACTAAAAAAGACAAGAGGAAGCTTTATGGTTGTTATTCTATATGTGATTTGCGCCAATAAGGAAGAATTGGTTGGTAGAATCATGTGACGAGGACCTTATGAAGAAGTAACTACTTCGTCTTAGAATGTACGATAAGGGAGAAGAAAGCTGGGGAAATCCAGTGTGACTTAGATTTTTGGAAGACTAGATTTCAGAGCCCTCAGAGAAAGACAGATGGGATCTTCTAGACCAAATTTCTATAGAACTCAGACCAGGAGACATGGGAAGCGCATAATAATGAATTTTAGAAAACAAAAAAGAAAAATAATTCTGACAAGAAGGAAAAAAATAGCCTGATGAAAATTTTAAGGGACTTATTAACCAACTTAGATTTTAAAGGCATGTTCTGAAATTGGAAATAAGAGCATTGCTTACTACATTTGGAGAAAATGGAGGAAAAATGTAGGGAATAAGAACACTATTCAGAAAAACCAAAGAGAGATGAGGAAGAGATGTTTAATTTATATTTTACTTTTATGCTCCTGTCAAAAGAAATATAGTCAGCCAGGCACTGTGCTAAATGCTGGGGATAGAAGTACAAAAATAAAGACAGTACCTGCTTGCCCTCAAGGAGCTTACAATCTAATGGGAGAAAACAATATAGAAAAGGAAGCCAAAAAAGGAGGGAGAGGATGGTTGGGGTGGGGCAGATGGGAAAGAAGTCAAAGAAGTCCAAAATGAGTGCAGCTAGGTGGGAGATAAAGGAGATTTCTGAAATGACCCTCTGGGGTTTCCTTTCTTTAAATGGAGATTATCTCCCATGTCTAGAATGCCATCTGTTTTCCTCTTTGCCTCTTGACATCCTTGGTACCAGATACCACCTTCTGAAGAGGCCTTTCCTGACTCCCCTCCAAACTTTCCCCTCTAAGGTTACCCTCTTCCTATTCTGTATCTATTTTCTATGTATCTATTTCTTTTTTATAATTATTTTTAGTTTTCAACATTCATTTCTATAAGATTTTGAGTTTTAAATTTTCTCTCTCTCCTCCTTCCCCCTCCCTGAGATGGCGAGCATTCTGATATAGGCTCTACTTATACATTCATATTAAGCATATTTTCACATTAGTCATGATGTAAAGAAGAATTAGAACTAATGGGAGAAATCACGAGAAAGAAGAAACAAAACAAAGCAACAAAAGAAAAGGAGAGCAAATAACATCCTTCCATCTGCATTGAGACTCCATCAGTTCTTTCTCTGGATGTGGATAGCATTTTTCATCCTGAGCCTTGTAGAATTGTCTTAGATCATTGTATTGCTGAGAAGAGATAAGTCTAGAAAAGGCAGTTATTGCATAATGTGGCTGTTACTGTGTACAATGTTCTCCTGGTTCTGCTGATTTTACTCAGCATCTGTTCATATAAGTCTTTCCAGATTTTTTCTGAAGTCTGCTTGCTCATCATTTCTTATAGCACCATAGTATTCAATTACATTCACATGCCACAGCTTGTTCAGCCATTCCCCAATTGATGGACATCACCTCAATTTCTAATTCTTTGCCACCACAAAAAAGAGCTGCTATAAATATTTTTGTACATGTGGGTCCTTTTCCTGTTTTTATGATCTTTTTGCGATACAGACCTATAAGTGGTATTGTGGGGTCAAAAGATATGCACAGTTGTATAGCCCTTTGGGCATAGTTCCAAATTGCTCTCCAGAATGGTTGTATCAGTTCTATGAATCTATTTACATGTTGTCTCCTCCATTAATATTTAGCTCCTTGAAGGCGGGT